GGCGGAGTAGGTGGGTGTGCGTTTCCTCTTCCTGCCCTTCAGTCCCGCTTCGCTACTGCTGAGGCCGTCAGTAGTCGAAATGGACCGATAAGGAACGTCTGAAGTTTTCTCGAGTTTGCTGAGGGGATTCAAGGAACCTCCCTATAGTCGGGTGGAGCTGAAGGACCGATTGCGGGACGCTCAGCTGTTTGGTCCTCAGTTGAGTGTTGCGCCTGGTAGTGGGGTACCCTTCAGAGGCGTGGAGGAGCGTCCAACATGGGCTTCTTCATGTCTTTTTCTTTTTTCCCCCCTTACGTGCTTTCGTGGGACTTGTTTACAGAAGAGTTCGTGAGCTTAGTTTTGTTTTGTACCTGGTTATCGCCGTGCATGGACGAGAGGAATTCTGTTGCTGTATTTAACCTTGTTTCCTGAGAGAGACCTATTTTCACAGTCTTAAGTGTCACCAAGACAATTCCCAGCAGGCCGGGCCCAGTTGCATAAGCCGACAAGCATGGAGGGGGACAGGTTGTGTAATGGCAGTGACATCATAGGTGGGTGTGGTTGAAGTTTTATAATATAGTGTTGAGAGAGGGTGCAAAGACGGAAGGTAGAGGTACGGGTTTTAGACTCTCCTACATTGATCGCAAGCAATGTGTCTGGTACTATGAACACTTGAGATACGGTCAATTTTTCAGAGTTTAGTCTTTGTAGAGGGAGTCAAATTCGTGTGATCTAGTGACAGATTCCTTTGTTGGTTTTATTTGACTATGGATTTTAACTCCTGGTGACCTGTGGAGTTCCATTTTCATTTGTGCCATTTTATTTCTGTTTAGAAATTTAGGAATTAGTAGTTTTTGCGGAATAAGCGTTATTATGTCTGTACAGTTGTCTGCAGCGGAGAAGAAACAAAAGCTTGCATAGGTCTAATCCTTTCAGTCTGTTCTGGGGAGATACGTTACATCTAGTTCCAGAATAAACTGTTTCAATGTAGGTGAGATTAAATCTCAGATATATTTTGTATGCCTTTTGGCAACCTAATTTAAAGAGGTTCGGTTGGGGCCTTAAATTCTACGTTATTTGCAAAGATGCTTCCAAAACGTAGGATATAGGATAAATGTGACCTGAGAAAGTGGCTGATCTATTTTAAATTTTGGAACTGAAAGAAACAGACTTTTCTTTATGTATTCTGAAGTAAAGCATTGATTCATACAGGTCACAAAGAAACGGAGTTAAAATTCAGTGGCCTTCATGGCACAAACTGATGAATCCGTTATTGATCACAAATGTTTACAGGGGTCCTGTTTCATGTTTCAAGATTGCTTTGAAAGAATAAAAGAGAAAATTAATTCTATAGACTGTAGTTAATCTTTCTTCTATGGATTTAGCAATACCATTTAGTTATCTGTGGGGAAAGAATTTTTATTTATATTTTTGTGAAGCTACGTCTTCAATTTTGGATTTAAAATGGGTTTAAAGTTTGAGAATAGTTACCAGCTGTGATGCTTATCCAAAATTTTATTATTCAAATTCAGTACATGTGCTAGAAGCTCAGTTTAAGATTCTTTGTACAACTATTTCCTGTGTCTCCAGTCCTGAGAACTATCAATATTCCAAGTATTCTGTTAAATATAATAAAGAACTTAATGAATCAGAATGCAGACCTACATTAAATGTGGATTTAGAGCTGAGGGCTCACAATTACAAATTGAAGGTGATTTCAGGCCAATAGAGAACTAATTAATAGCTGCTGGTACACTTTCTATCTTCCTCCAGAACGTGGATCTTGACAACACTTAGAGGTGGAAAAGACACAGCATAAGAAATGTATTCATGTTTAAAATCATTCATGTTCCGTTTCAGTGTTTCCTTACTGCTAGTTCATCTCTGTTTCTTTTTAAAGCAGATAGAGAGTTAAAGAAATGTGATAAGCATAAATCTGATTTCCTATATAAGGCATTGCCACTAAACCTTTATTCAAATGGTATCTTTTCATAACCACTTTACGTTTCTTGGAACGTCTGAAAGAAGTATTTGCCATGGAGCAAAAGTGACTTCTGAAAAATATGAGGAATGTTAACATTCATATAGTTAATATATTCCTTGCAGGAGTTGAAATGAAATAGTTTAGTTAAAGGAAGTTTATTGGATTAAAATCCAAGTGCAGCTTGTCTTTAATCAAGTATCCTGAAACACACAGCTAATAGGCTTGAGTTTGGTCTGAAGCAGAGAGTCACGCCTGCTGGAGTGGGCCTCAGGAGATCTGTTGACCAATCATTCTCCTGTTCAAAGAAGAATAAACACTGAGTTCAGAGCGGTTTGCTTAAGGTTTTGTCCAGCTGCATCATGAAAACCTACAAGAATGGAGATTCCACAACCTCTCTGGGCAACTTGCTCAAAGATTAATTATCCTCATAGTGAAAAGTTTTCTTCTTATTTCAAGTCTGAACTGCCCTTGTTTTGGTTTAAAACCATTGTCTCTTGTTTTTTCCTCCGTGCACTTCAGTAAACAGTCTTTTAGGTAGCCTCCTCTTGGATTCTGGAAGGCTGTTTAGCTATCCCAAAGTCTTCAGGAATCGTTTTCCACAAAACCAGCCCAGTTCTCTCAGCTGCTTCTCAGGAGTCATGTGTTCCAACCCCTGACTGTTGGGATGACCCTATAGTACTGTATTAATAAATACTGTGTCCTCAAGTTTTTCTGCATAGTGGTTGTGATGTGCATGCCTTTTATTTTGAAGAATTTGGTATATTTTTAAGAATGATATCAAAAGCATGCAGGAACAGGCCAGATCTTTTGGTCTTGCAAATATTTAGACTGAGTTTGTTAGATGTATTTGATCATTCATTGGCAGTGTTTGTTTGCATTCAGAAGCAGAGTTGGGTCCCAGTTAAACTCCTTGGTTTAGCCCTTTGTTTTGTACCAGTTCAATTGGAACCATGCTTTTCTCTTTGAAAAAGAAATGGACAAAATGTCAACCTGCTGTAGACTTGAACTCACGTTTTTATCTTCAAACTACCCCTCACCCTCCTCCAGAAAAGAAGGCTCAGGGTTGCTCAGGTCATCTTCTACACTTGAAAGTCTGAAAAAGACCAGCTCCCTCTGATTATGTGTGAATAGGTAGCTTATCAGAGAACAAAGACCCACACTTGCTGCTACCTCTGAGGAAAAGAATGCGGCTTTATGCTAACTCTGCTGGACACCAAAGAGTCAAATACAACAGAAGAAACGGTCTGAAGAGTCTGATCTGAGCTCCTGCCTCACTAGGCTGTAACAGTCACAAAAGACAAAGCCACAGGAAAGCAGGATTCAGAGCTCTGCTTGCAGAATTACATGTTTGAGTTAGACAAAGACTATTTCCCTGACTTCTGTTAATACAAACATCTTATTACATTTAAAATCAAATAAAAACCAAACAAACCAGGTTTGGAAATATATGTGTTTGAAGGGAAACTGTCTAACTTGAAAGGCAAATAAGAAAGACACTTTAGTTTCAGCTGTGAAATATTTTGTCAGTTTCGATTTTCTTAACCTTTTCTTTTCCATTAAGGTCTTTTTACATGTAACATAAAAAAGCAATATGTTGGAGTACATGGGAACATTGACCAGTCTGGCTTTTAAATGTAAAACAAGCTAATGTTGGAAATGATGAAAATTTAAACTAGACATTTAGAATAGACTAAGGTAGAATATCAAATTGAAATGATTCCCTCCCAATAAAATTTTGTTGAAACAAACTTAAAGAACTATTTGATTTTAGTGTCATTTACAGTAGATCAGTGTTAGACTTATCTCATTCAAGAAAACACACAGGTGTATTTTAAAAAAAGTCAAGTACAAAGCAGTGTGCTGGCATTTTTTCCAAGCAACAGCTGCAGTTAGTGGTATTCTGAAAACCATAGGTTTTGTGGCTTGGAGATGGGCGTGGTTCCCATTTAGAGACTGCCTTTACATTTGTGCAAAATGCTACCTGTTGGACAGGAGAACTTACCTTTACTGAACGAATGTTTTCCCATTGTAGAAGGTTCACTAGTACAACTCCTTATGTAACAGGGCTGCCAGCTGGTGTTAAAGGCTTTCTGGTATTGACTATCGCTTTTCAGACCTTCGTGGTAAGGGCTACTTCTGGTACTTAACAAATGGAAACCATTGTGAAAGTGGCATCTGTATCTCCAGCCATAGTTGGAAGGGGTCAGGCAGTATAAAAACAAATGACAGTCTAAAGACAAACTTCAACGTTTGAAAGCAAACTTTCTAATACTTAGACTTTTTAATAAAATTGTGGTGAATTCCCAGATTTCTGTGATTTTGAATGGATACACTGAAAAGCTAAAGTCTTAGTCCTTAGTTTTTGTTTTCACAGCAGCACTGAGCAATGCCTTATTCTGTCAGCTTCGATGTTAGATCTTTTAAAATATTTTTTCTTGTTGCTGCAAGATACATCAGAGGGTCTAAAATTTGATCTTTAGCTTGAAAGACATGAGCCTGGAATCACTGCTCCTTTTATTACCCAAACATTGGGGTGTGGGGGAGAAAGTACTGCAGTAATTTTGAAAGTATGGTACAAAAAAGTGTGGTTATGACGTATCACTATGAAAACATAGCTAATTAAAAATTAAAAATTTCTGATTTACTAAAAATGTTACTCATTTTTTGTCTTCAGATTCCAGTGACTTGATGCTAAGAATTTACAGAGCTGAGTCATATGTTGGCCTCCAAGAATATAAAACAGCCATAGAAGACTTAAATTTTGTTATTTCTAAAATGCCAAATTGGCCAGAGGTGAGTTGATATCTACTCTTTGTTTTTCAAAATCTGTGTTTATCTTAAAATTAATGAATTCTAAATTATGCTTGCATCAAGTTAAGAATCTAGGTCAGCTACCTTAAACGTTATGTTGTAAGACATGCAAAATGCTAAAAGGTATCTTAAAATAATTACTTACGTGAGACAGGCTACTGATGAGTACGGCAGGTTAGTGTTGATTGACGAATCTACTTGGAACTGTTAATTTAGCCTTCATCAGAAACTTCAGGTGTTTTTATTTTGTGTCACAACATGAGATGGTGTCTTTGGATGTTAAGGGTTAAGTGCAATAGAACTAACTTCTTGGGAAGTATTATGAAGCGTTTTAGTGCTGTCTGTAGTTACTTGTTATTGATACTTTCTTTGTAAGAACATTTTAATGTGTTCTCTTAAGAAAAGTTATTAAATATTTACAAACTTAACTTCAACTTAATGTTATCGGGCTGAATGGTTAGCTGAAACTGTGCAGCCAGCTTTAATTGCTCGAAAGCAGAACTTCTGAGGCCCATACATTTGGTAGGTTGATGTAATTGAGGTTTAAAATTTCTTAGTCTATGTACAAGTTAGCCCTTTTAAAGCTCTGCACTTCCCTGGAGTGTTTATACTTTGTATTTCCCAGAGTCAGAGCATTTTAAGCATTTTTTGTTCCTTGAGAATATCACATGAGATGAACGAGCACTTCTGTCAGTCAGGACTAGAATTCTTGGCTCTGTGTTAAGTCAACATTTCTCTCGTATTTTTTGAGTCTTATTGGTAAAACAGTTTGCTGTATAAATAGGACAACACAGCTTTCTTTTCCAAAAGCTAACAAAAAGTCAAAAAATATTTAGCACAAGCAATGAATTCTTTTGCAATAGTATTGGCTAAAAAAACGGTAAGCATGCGTTTGGGGCCTTTTTTAGTGGCTCCAATACTTGGAGTTGGGATGGCTTATGGTGATGTAACCTGTAACAGCTGGAGTTTGGGGTTTGTTTTGTTTATTTGTTAATTTTCATTAAGAGAAGGACACTGCTGTTTTAGCTTGGAAAGGTTTTCTTTGAAAAGCCCAGAGAAACTCAGTGGGAACTGGGCTTTGCAAATAGTCTAGGCAGCTGGGAAGTCACTGGCCTTCAGAACTGTAAGATTCTGTATCGCAGCACTGTCTAAACTCTGAGCGCAGCAGGAGCAGCAAGATCTTGCTGCACAAGGGGAGATGACTACTGCTGCCTTGATCTCTCCTGTGTTCAGCAGTTCCATGGCTGCTGCAAATTAAGAGAGCATCCTGCTTTTCTCCTCAGCATTGGTAGTACTGCCTACTTATATTTTTTTTTTCCCATGTTTGGAAAGAAACCTCACTTCACTTAACTTGAGATTGATTTGATGGATTTCTGTAACAATTATCTTTAAAATAAACTCTCTGTAAGAGAAGGATCGAGATACATCTTAATGAATCTTCCCAGATCCATCAAAGATGATGCATACCCTAGCAGCCTTGTTTAACAGCCTCTACTGTTAATACTGGCAGTTGCTGTGTAGAAACAACGCTTCAGGATTGTTTTTGTTTGGTTGGTTTTGTTCTTTTTTTTTTCTAAATTCCATTTTCTTGCCCATTATCTGAAGTCTCATATACAACTAGATGTTGTTTTATCTAACTTTTTAGATAACTGTTGGTTTTATCTAACTTGTATTTATATTACTGCAAATGCAACTTTTTAACATTGAGATAAGATGGATAAGGGAATTCTTAGTTCCAATTTCATATAGGTAGATTCAGCAATATGCAGTAGTCTTTTCTCTCTCCCTTTTTCTTCCTCTCAGAGAAAAGAGTAAACAGATTATTTTTTTTTCCCTAGCTGCTGTCTAGCGTTCAAGAATAAAATAGAGTTGGAGGAAGCAATTCCAACAGCGCATTGTTTTATATTAAGAATATATATTAAGATGTATGTAAGGGATGCATGGTTGTTTGGATTGCTTTGTTTGTAGTTACTCTTCTCCTGCAGGCTGGAACTGTAAGGCTTTTAATGAAACAGGGAGCGAAAAGGATATCCTGTAAGCTGTTCTATGAGATTATGTATTAATTTGCATTGCATGTCCCTCTTCTTCCTCTGGAAAGGCTGAGAGAAGGGGAAAATTAAGGCCCTTTGCAAGTTCAGCACCAGTCTGGTTTTTAACCCCTTGTGTAACCTAAAACAAAATAACTGGAGGGAAACTAACACCAGTCATGACTCTCTTCAAACACTGTAGGGGATGTATGTTAGACAGGACATGTAAATCATCCACACTGTGCACAGCTGAAGTTTATTGAAAAGGTACATTCTTTTTGTCATGGAGGATTCTAATTCTGTTGTAATGCCTGTAAAATGAATACTGCAGTTCATTTCTGCAGTATGCAGAGAGTATGCAGTTCTACATACTCTCTAGAAGTATCTTCATGGTATCTATTTTTCAGGTCTACTTCCGAAAAGGAAAAGTGCTGCAAGACTCTGGTTTTGTAGGTGATGCCTTACAACTGTTTCTACAGTGCTTAGCCCTTGATGAGGACTTTCTTCCAGCCAAGCTAGAAGTAGAAAGGGTAATTTTATTTATGAAACTGGATTACTATCTCTGACTTGATTCCTTTATAAAGCTCTCATTATGGTAGACTTTGAGCATCTAAAACTCTTCAGTGCATACAGAGAAGGTTCAGGTGGCAGATCAGTTCCTTTCAAGATACATCATACCACATTGAAGAGATAGTCCTAATGTATGAGTTTTAAGTACGCTTTTCAAAGCACATATACTTTTGAAGTTACTAAATGGAAATCTAAAAAACTGGAAAGCAGGCAGCAAGTTAAATATTCTAAGTTGAACTCTTTTATTGTGCCCAGAGCACAACAGTTTTTCTTTGATAATAAAAATTTACATTGAAAAAACTGCGTGATATTGAATTGATAATGACTAACACTGTTTGAAGAGCTCACTCACTTGTAGTAGAAAAGATTTCTAGATAGATTTCTTTTTAGTAATATAGGTATGTAGGTTTCTAATTTTTATCAACTGTTCTTTCTCAGTTACTGCTTAAATAAAGCTGTATTTATGAGGATAATTTCATATAGTTAAAATTCTTATTTTTGGTATGTAGTTTTATAATAAAACTATGTCTAGATCCTCTTTCGTTATTATGAACATTTCGCTGTTTGTTTTCTAGACACTGTGTGATATGCTATCACCAGAGAAGTTAGGAGAGAGTCTGAAGGAATCTGCTTGGAATTCACCACATATTCGAAATAAACCTTTTATACTTGGTTCAGAGGTGACTGAGTCTTACTGCAATTTACAGCTTTGTCCTGAGCAGGTAACAAAAACTATAGGGTAACTTTTCTCTTTGGCTAATAAACAAACATCAGACTTTCTGATATCCTTATTTGTCATACTTGCTTTCCAACCTAAATGTCAGCTTTCTGTAATTGGCCAGATGAGAAGAAAATAGTAATTTGGGAGTAATGTATTTCAATTTGGAGTGTTAGACTCCTCATTCTAGTGAACTACTTATTAGAAAGTACTGGGATTTTATATTAGTGACTTCAAAATAAAGAGAAATACATTTTTTCCTTCTCCTTGAAGCAGATAAAGATTTTTGAATCTTCAAAATTTTTTTAGCAAAAATGCTAAGCAAATTTGAGTACTGTCTTGACTTACCAAATTTTTTTAGTTAGCTAATGAACTAACTGTGGGTATCAATTTGGCATATATATCTTTGCATGTTCACATCTTACATACTTAGATTTGTGTTCCTCTTTAAGTTCAGTTCATCTTACTATTACAGAGTTTAGGAGGATCAGAGGTACCAGAGCCTGTCAGTGGAAGCTTAAATCGTGCACGGTCTGCCCATGCTCTTAACTCAACAAGAGACCTTGCCAAGGAAGATGGCTTAAAGAGAGTGTCTTCTGAACCCCTTCTCTCTGGCGAAGAAAAAGGTGCTTTGTTGAAAAGAAAGCTTTCCTTTTCAGAACAGGATACAGTTGTATGTGAAGATGGAAGAAACAAACACAAAAAGCAAGGAGGTAAGCAGTCACTTGCTTTGAAATTTGAAGTATTTACTGTCTTCTGCCTTTCTTTGAGGGAGCATTTTGTCTTGCTTTTCCTCAGAAAGTACAAAAAGGGACATGACACTGGCTTTTGGAGCGATTCCAGAGGATTTGATTGACGTATCTGATTTTGAATGCTCTCTGTGCATGAGGTAAGATTTCCTCCTTGATTCAATATTTCCACTATAGGTGCTTGGCCACGTATCTGTTACACATATAGGCTGAGGTACGTGTAGTTTGTGATGAGTTCTATTATGAGTCAAGGATTTTCAGCCTTCCTCTATCCCTGCAGTTAAATGCTTATTTAAATGTGTCACTTGCTATAGTGCCATATAATGCAAGATTATTTTAATCAAGCTGCCTTTTAAATTAAACTTTGCATTGTTAACGGATAGCCTAAAAATGTCAGGATCTTTTGTGGTTAAATGTTAGGGATTTTTTCAGTCAATGAAACTATTTAACTTGTTATTTTGGGAAAGCTAATGCTTAGAAGTATTGCCTGTGAACCTCATGTCTGTCTAGGAGATGTAGATACTTCAGAATGTTGGTCTACTTAAATGTAGCTGATGTATTTAAAAGCTCCTATTGAGTCATCTTGGTTTTCAGAATAAATACCTTAAAACATAACGGTGTATATTAAACTGTCCATAGTTATGCTGCTAGTATGTAATACTGCTATTAAAACAACTTAGGTCCTCAAAGAATTGCTTAATTTTGCGTGTTCAGAATCTCTAGTGAGATGAAAATCTTTGTACATTGAGATAAATATTTAGATATTTAGAGTGTTGAAATGTGTCCGAATTTGTCAGAAAACAAAAATGAGTGGTGTGCTGGTAAATGGAAACAAACTGCAGTATAGAGGAAAAAGTAGAATAAGGAGACATGGAATTAATGTTCTCTGCTATGTTATGATATAACTAGTCTAAAAGATATTGATCACTGACCTTTTTCCAGCAGAACATACACTCGCCGTGGTATCTAACTGTTAATAACTTTGTTTCAGGCTATTCTTTGAGCCAGTGACAACCCCTTGTGGACATACTTTTTGCAAAGGTTGCTTGGAACGGTGTTTAGACCATGCTCCCCAGTGTCCACTCTGTAAAGAGAGTTTAAAAGAGGTACTGTTTCTCAGTAGAGCTCACAAATACGAATATTATATAATTTTAAAGGCTGTTCCACTTAAACCCAACAACTTGGATTTGCTTGGGTTATGGATTGCTGCTAGAAAGAAAAAACTTGAGACAAACTTTGTCAATACAAGTTGATTAGGTTTGCCTCAGGTCTTAGAGGTTTTATGTTTCTTTGACCATCTACTTTTTTGGTGCCATTAAATCCTGAGTGTTTGTAAACTTTGGTAACTATTTGGTAAAACCTCTCTGTGATTTCTGTACGCTTTCCTTATTCGTATGGCTGTATAACCTGGGAAGTCAATTCTGTCTCTGGTAAGCATAGAATTACAAACCGAGTTAGACATTTGAGTTGTTAGACACTAAGAGCTAAAATAGAGAATCTCACTTTCAAATATTACAATAACATTGCATTTAAGTAATGAAGCATAAAAGCTTCAGAGCTATAGCTTTTCATGGGTTTAAATCTAATTTATGACACATTTCATATATCATGGCTTTAAATAAGCTGCATTTTCTCAAGTATTTTGTTAATGTATATGAAAATAAATACTAACATATTTTTAAAAATTGCTTACAGTACCTTGCAAGCAGAAAATACAGCATCACAGAACTGCTGGAGGAATTAATAATGAAATATTTGTCTGATGAATTATACGAAAGAAAAAGAATTCATGCTGAAGAAACTGCTGAACACTCAAAGTAAGCTTGCTATCTTTTATCTAGAAAACTTCAGAGATAAGTACGGAAATCCTTTTTAGAGTGTTTTGTCATTTTTGTGATTATTAATAATGGCATATGGATGCAAGAAGGAGTAAAAAGGTATGTTAATTTGGTGACTTAAATGTGTATTTTGGAAAATAAACGATTTTTTAACTACTGTGGAAATAAAAAATAAATCACACTTTGATAGTAGCAATATGAGACTCTTAAGTCCTCTACAAAGTACGTTTGCCTTTCTGTTTCCTCTTTCTGTGTGCGCTGTCATGGAGTTTCAGGTTTAGATTTACTGTTCTTAATGGAATTGTCCTCTTGAGTTGACTGCAGAGTCTCAGATGCTTGAATTTCTTTCAAAGCAGTTCATGATAGACATTAATTGTATAAAGATAGATGTGATGAAAAGAAATTGTTGAGATTTTTTTGTAATCTTAATGTTTATCTCTAGTACAGTTCTTCGGATATATATAAAGCATCGTGTATTGTAGATATGAAGGTTGGAAAACTCTTTAAAACCATAGCTTATGCAACATATGTAACTGAATCCATACGTTAGAATCATGTTTTGTAGTCTGAGAGGTATTAAAATTAAATACCTGGTAATGTTTTAATGCTAACTTGCTATATCAACTGTAGACACTTGATAAAATAGCATGAAAAAATATTTTGTTTTTGAGTTAGGCCTGCTGAGGCAGATTGCAAGGTAAAAATTACACTCTGGGTTGCATCTTGTCATCTGGAGTCCATCACTGAAAAAAATCTGAATGGTGACCAACCAACTATGTAGTTACTGCTACATCCTCTTAGTTCCAGGAAAACTGTGACTCTGAGGGCATAATGGCTTCTATGGCTCAAACTACATCAAAAAGGAAAAAAATAACAAACGCTTTTGTCCCTATAGCAAAACCCTTCATTCCCTGACTAGATACTTGCTGAGTAGGTAACCATAAGATTTACCGTCCAGTACATATTCAAATCAGTGCATAAGTATTCAGTCACTGTTACTAGTATGTGGTTTTATTGTTTATGACAGTTATTACAATGCGCTTGTTATTAAACTTTGAAAAGAGAGCTTTATGACTTCAAATATAGCAAACATACTGAAAAAAATGTATTGTCTTGGCATAGTTCAGTGATTAGATTTTTAAGCCACATATTTCTTTTGATGTTCTCTTGAAGCTTGACCAAGAATGTTCCAATGTTTGTTTGCACTATGGCATATCCTACTGTGCCTTGCCCTTTACATGTGTTTGAGCCAAGATACCGACTAATGATTCGCAGAAGTATGGAAACTGGGACTAAACAGTTTGGGATGTGTATAAGTGATTCTCAAAATGGGTAGGTTTACATCCTAATTCTAAGCTTCTCATCTCTTACGTCTTTTTATTTTAATTACAAAAAGTGGCCTTTCAGAAGTGTACAGTAATGACAAGGTCTCTCTTTAAGTTTTGCAGATTATGGATGCATGCTGCAAATTAGGAACGTTCATTTTCTACCTGATGGACGGTCTGTTGTTGATACAGTTGGTGGAAAGAGATTTAGAGTTTTACGGAGAGGGATGAAAGATGGTTATTGCACTGCAGACATCGAATATTTAGAAGATATTAAGGTATCTAGAATGCTGTCTAAATACTTAGTAGTATTAATATCTCAGGACTTTTGCTTGATTTGTTCTTGAAAGCTCTGTTTCAAAGTTTTAGGTCATTAGACTACTGGAAAATTCAGTGCCAGCACATGGAAGAAATGAAAGCTAGCTTAATTTTTTTGTTATAAAGCAACAAAGAAATGCTGTGTCTTTTGTTTGAACAATAGTTAGAAACTGTAACCTTTTAAAGTATGACAAGACTTCTTTACTCTTCAGTCATTAGCAATCAAGGTTTAAGAGAATGCAAAAAATGTATCTAAATGTAGTTGAAATTGAATGTCCTTTAATTTTAGCTTGAACACCTTGTTTATCTCTTGATATTTTCATAACATTCCTCCTACAGGTTGCTGATGAAGAAGAACTAAAGAAACTGAGAGAACTTCACAATTTTGTTTACAATCAGGCCTGCAATTGGTTCCAAAACTTAAGAAACAAATTTCGCACTCAAATTCTTCAGCACTTTGGGCCAATGCCTGACAGGGAGGAAAATATACAGGTAAGACATCATTTAACATCAATCATTAGTTGCTTATTTCTAAAGATAAAAATACTGTTAACAACTGCTAAATGTTAAAAGAAAAAAAAAGACTTTTTTCCCAACTTTGAAGGCAATAAGGCTTGCATCTTGTTTATCTTATGACGAGCAAGAAAAGGCAATTCTCTTGCTGTTCAAGAGTTTTTGCAGGAAAAGATGATATGCTGCTGTGGAGATGAAACTAGTAAACTTAGAGCACTTTAAGTTCCAGCAGCATTTTAAGTTATTGGCTTGTGTAAAGCTTTTAGAATTCAAATAAAAAACCCCTGTATTTTCTTCCCCACGACACGTACAGGCAGTAATCTTTGGCAAAGAAGTAATCACAAAACACTTTCCTCCTTTCTGAGCTAGTGCCATAAACTGCTGCAGCTGCTAGGATTTGAAAAATGTTTCTTAAGAAACTAGCTGCAGCAATCTATTTTAATGGTTGTTATAAACAATTAATGAAGGTTGGTGAGATCCTGAGAGAGTGCAGGCTGGAGAAAAGTAACATTTAAAATTGCATAAAATTTGGCTTCCAAAGAAGATTTATATATGAAGTAGAATCTTATGAAAGCCTGTCTCTTGCTCATCTGCTACATACTTTTATGAGACTATATTAACCAATCTGGGAGGACTGTAGATGCTGTAGAGGCCAGTGCATGAATTCAGAACTGATTTTAAAACAATTTAATAAATAATAATAATAAGTTTAATAAATAAATAAATAAACCACACCAAAAAAAACCACACAAAACAAAAAAACTCAGCAAACAACAAAACCAACAACAAATCTAAACCAACATACTAGGAAAGAGAAATAAGTGTGCAAAACCAGTACAACTAGCAGGGCAGCCGTACTGTGGGTATGTACCTGAGATTTATATTATAACACAATTGTGTCAACTGTGTGATACAGATGAAAGGGAGGAAGTGTCATCCTGGAGTCTAGCACTTACCAGTAATATTTTTGCAAGTTGTTTGACATAATTAATCTTCTCTGCAGTGATATGACCTCTGTTGACGAGTATTGTATCCACTTCTGGGCATGACATCTAAGGCTCGGTGTAGAGAATTGAATCAAGTACTGGAAAAAGTTAGATAGTGTGTTTTACCAACTTAAAAGAAACTGATTAAGTAGTACTGCTCTGTCTAGGAGGTAATGAGGAGGGAGTGGAATTTGGAGGTGATAGAGGAGTCCTTCAGATACAACAAAGACAATTGTAATGAAAATGTTAGGCTTCAAGAATATTCAAGCCTCAAGGATAGCATGACAGGTAAAAGATTTAGTTTTTATCAGGGAGGTTTGTTATCCGGTGACTGTCCTATACTTAGCCATTCTTTTCCCAAGAAAGCTCTGAGCTTCCTTTGTTGTCTTAAAAATAATTGCTTATCAAAATCAAGCTTAGTTTAAGTGTACTTAGTTTGGCTTCTTGGTGAGGGATCAGAAGGAATCCCTTTAGAACCCTTCTGATGTTTTGGATCTGGAATTCTCTAGTTAGTATCCAACTTTAAACTAGCCTTTGTCGCTGACGACTTTTGTCTTTTTAATGTCTTCATGTTAGGCAACTGTACTAAATTGGTTATGAGTAACCAAATCTATCTTTTATTTTTAGGCAATGCCCAATGGTCCTGCTTGGTGTTGGTGGCTTCTAGCTGTTCTCCCAGTAGACCCCAGATATCAGCTGTCAGTTCTCTCCATGATGTCTTTGAAAGACCGTCTGATAAAAATCCAACATATACTCACGTATTTTTCTAGAGACCAGTCCAAGTGACTAACCGCCTGGGTCTTCCTGAAAAGTTACTCTGTTCTGGTTGTAGTAGCAGCTGGAATTTTTGCTGCCTTTGCACATCTAGCACTGGTTTGAGAAGTGTAATGGAACTGCTTTTTCTCTCTCCTCCCTACCGTCCTGACTTCCTGAACCACATGGTTCTTTGAATGCACACTTTCCTCAACTTTGAGAGAAGACCACTGAAGATTGCACAAAGTCAATCCAGCTAGATACGTTTTTCACGTTATCTACATTACAATTTGCACTATGTAGAAGAGAACGTTTTTTGAGACTTGACAATTTTAGCCACTGGCTTTTTAAAGCTGTGGGAAGTGCAGGACTTAAGGCTGACAGTCCAAGTTTACAACATTGAGGAGGTATTAAAGGTTTTGCAAATGTTTGCCTCATACAACTGTTCTTTTGCTGTTTGCACAAATATTTGAAATATAGTATTGAATGTCACTGTTGGATATTACTACTTTTGTTGAATTATTTTGACCATAAATATGGCACAGATTTTTAAGTTATCTTGTAAATGTATGCATCACAAAACAGGTGACATTATGAACTGTATGCTGAACTGAGAGCCAATTTTAAGGAACAAATGCAAAAAAAAAAAGGTACTTCTGTCTAAAAATACTTAAACTGTGAATATGGTTTACATACCTAGGCCTGTATATGTTAAAGAGGAAACTGAAAACTAAATACTAGTACCAGTTACATTTCTACTGGGCTTTTCAGGCTGGCTGTTCTTCCAGAGCACACACTTAGTTTATAGAGCTTAGAAGAAGAAATCTTAAAGTGTGCGTGTGTGTGTTGGGGATTGTGCATCCAGGATTTAAAAGCTTAAAGTTTTATTTGAACTTTTTAAGTTGGTGCAAATGTGAGTTCTATGCCTTATTCATATCAATAGTAGAGCACACTGCAGTGGCAAGGTTAGCATCATGCTGCCAATAGGTACTTTTTGTAATTAAAGGTTTGCATTTTTGTGAATATGTCTGATACTGGCTTTCTTGTATGTAAATCATTTGTAAAATATTTCTTAAATCTTGCTTTTGCTAATATATTTAATTTTCAATAAAAGCTGAAAGTTTGTAATATTTTTAACTTTATCAGAAACTAAAAATCTCTTTCATTTTCCATATGCTTCTATTCTGGGATCTTAAGTAAATCCAGAAGCAGCTGTTTAACCTACATCAAGGTTGTGGGCGCTTTGTGATGTAATTGGTAGGTACATAATCTGTTTCTGATTATAGTTCCTGTCTCACACTGATTATTGGTCAGACAAGTTTTTTGCTGGTGCCCTGCTTTAGTATCTTTTTTTTTTTTTTTAATTAAGGTGGTTTCAGGTATGGAGTTTGCATTTCACAAAACTTGAAAGTTGTGGGAAGCTATTCTTGAGGAACACTAAGGTATTTCACAGACTTGCTAATCAGATGCTTTCACCTTTTCTCTTTAAGTTTAAGGCTTGAGGTATTGCAGGCAACCAAAATCTTCTGGACCATTTTTAATGTGGGCTTCTAGCTGAGTAAATTTCTCCTTTATTGTATGACTGAAGTCCTAGATTGATATTTTGAAAGCTTTGTTTGCATAATAAGAGAAGAAAGGGGATCCTTTATTTCTCCACTTCAGTATGCTACAACCTTAGAAACCTCATCTTTGTATCACCATCATCATCTTAAGAATGCAGGTGATGTTTTTTTTTTTTTCTTGACAGCAAAAAGTCCCTGTAGCCAGGCTTGAAATACCCAAATAATCTAGTAATTTTTTTGTTTTGTTTTGTTTTGCCAAGAGCTTTGATTTTGAAATTGAGGAGTCCTTCGTCTGCTGGAAGATGTGGCTTCTAGGTGTTTTTATACCTTCTCATGACTTTTTAATAAAATAAAAATTCAGATAAAGTCTGAAAGACAGTGAAAGGCTTGCACTGTCCTGTGCATATAGAAGTTCTACTTCTGGAATTGTAAACCACGTTAAGAGAAAACTTGATTAAAAAGAAACAGCAACAACAAAAACAGCAGTTACTGTGATTAACACATGCTGTATTAAGACTGATCATAAGTACTACTCTTCAGTAACTATTCCACACACATGATCATAGTAGGTGTGGTTGGGAATGATATGAAGCTGAGAATGGGAAGGAAAGATTTTTAAGAGGATTTTTTTCAAGTGATTGTTTTGTGGACCAGACTTTGTTGCTTTGTGTGGTTAGAATGAGGCAGAACAAACTCGCCTGAATATTAGCATAGACCTTTCAGTAAAACATCTTGGAGAGATGCCATGCTGTACTTTGTAAATCATGCTTGGAATTTGGGGAGTACTTCCTTGTTCTTTTTTTTAAATTTTTTTTTTGTCCCCTCATGTCACACAACAAGGTTTCTTTAAATATCGGATGATAAAATAGCAACAGACTAAGGACTAAGTTTGATCAACTCCATTTTAATAATATAAGTTGACAATCGATGGAATTGAGCCTGAGTGGAATGTAAGCAATCTAAGCATGAGCAAAAGGGAAAAGGAGGAAGCTCACTTGCTGTGTAGGCAAGGTACAACACCGCGAATGATTAGTCTTACCTGCTGGTGAGCAACAGTCAGGGAAATTGGCAACCTCTCATGTTCTCTGTCACGACATAAGGACATCTTCACCGGGCAGCACCCCTGGACCAGCCAACAAGAGCTGCCCCAATGTAGTGTTGGGGCACCTTGTTTGTGGATTGCACCTTTCTTGTTCAATCTTATGACTGACAAGTTGGTGTAGACATGTTCTTTATGTAAGCGTGAGAACAAAACTAGATGTGTCTGGAAAGATTGGTGATCCATAAATAGCTATACAATGAATTGGATATACGCATTATGACATTTCTGATATTAGCATAAACTTCAACCTGAGAGACTGGAGGTTGGTCTCAGCACTCACTGTGCTGAGTAGTACCTGTGCAGAACTGAAGTGTGTTTTTCAAATCTTTCTGGCAAGGACTTATTCCCAGTTTTGCCAAATTGGGGCTAGAAGTCTTGCTGAAATTCTTAATTCACGATTAATATTCACCTCTAGCCTCTTTACCTTAGTTACTCTTATTAAATAGCATTTCTTGTAACAGCTCGATGTCCTGGGTGAGAACCAATGAACTTCAGGTTCAGAAACATCAGCTTTCCAACTCAAGCCATTCTGTGATTCTCAGTGTGAAATGGTGACTTCATGTTTCTTCATTTAACATGGTTTTTCTTTTGGAAAGACTTTGCTGGGCAATTATACAAACTTCATCACATTCTTTCTAGCGAATTGTCTCTCTGGGGGCCTTTTACTGGTCCCGAGTTTCTTTAAGGACAATATGCAAAGATAGTTGTAAGATATGTTGGTGGGGTGGCTGTGAAACTTGAAGTGATGCTAGAACAGTAGTAGGGAGAAATGTTTGCTCTGAAACCTGTGGAAGACAAGGCCAGATTCAAACATTGTTGGAGGCTTTACAAGACATGCAAGGACCGTATGCCTGTCGTTTTGGTTTTATAAGTCATCTGACCCATTCCTTTGAGCTCTGTCCCGGTGTTTGTGCATGTGGTGGGGTAAATATCTGCCAGATACTGGAATTTTGCTGTAGCTTTATTATTTGTATTGATTCCAAGTGAGGCAGAGTGGAGTTAATTTGCACAGCTGAGTCTGCTGAACAGCAGCACAAGGCAAGACTTCCAGTCCAAGGCACTGCTCACTTGACGTTACCAGTTGGGGCAGGGACAGCTCCCAGGGAGAACGGTTGAAACTGTGCCTTTGGGCAGGTCTTCAGGAGCAGCAGCCAAACCACAACCACCTGGCCTGCACCTGACCAAGGCTGAGATGTTGCTCTTTCGGTACCACCTTTGACTGTAGAAACCTGGCTGTCATCTACTGGATTTTTCTGGTAGACGAGAGATACAATAATCCTTAAATAGGTATCCATGCCACTTCGCAGCTTACTGAAACCTGTCCATCACCACCTCATTTATGTGCTTTTACACAACTAAAAAAAACCCCACAAAACAAATAAAGCTGCAAAATGTTTAATGCTAGTACCCCATTCTAGAGGTACTTAAGCTCTGCAGGAAATTCAGAGTTTGTGGTTTGTTGTTTTTCTTTTTTTAAATCAACCCTCTGTGAACCTTTAAAGTTCTTGTCTTGTACATACCTTGAGACAAGTCTTGATTGTTCAAACGACCTTTGCACCTTATTTTTGTCTGAGCCCAGAAATGCAGCGTTCTCACGTGTAAGCTTTTGGAAGTTTTGAACGGGGAAGTGTGCTCTGAGAGCGGGCGTGACATGCCTACTGCAATGTGATCCAAATACAGGGCAACAGGCGCCTCTGGTTTCATTTTAAAACACGGCTTGAGATTTCCTTCTGACGCTATTTCACGATGAAATTGCATTGCTAAGGAAATCATTTGGGCTGTGAGAAAAGGTTCAGATGCCCTCTCTAGTGAGGGAACAGTCATGGTTTTTCTTTGGGTATGAATTACTTTAATAGCTTACAAAAAGAAAGGCTTTAAACATAGAGAATGCCTCAATGCTATCCCCAGGAAGTCTCAATCACATCCTCTCCTAGGCCTTCCATTCATGTTTTACAGCCCTCCACAGGCAGTGAGGATGGGTGCTTTCACCTTTGAACTGTGGATGGAGGACAAATCAGCGGGGAGCAGATTTTCCCCTCGCATATTTTTACAGAATGGATTTTTCTGGGTTTGGGGTTGGCTTTTTTTGGAAATTAAACGTTATAAAGTGGAACACCAGGTGCCATTCACCTGTACCTGAAGCAGTGTAGGACGTAAAACAAGTCCTGCCCTCAGCACTTCCCTCTGCTAAGTCTGAACAGCTCTTTGCTGGTGTCTTTAAAGAACTTACACTGTTAAGCAGGTAACTGTTAATCAGGACATGATCTAATCCAGGGTCCTTGGTTCCACAGCAGGTGCTTAAAAATTAGATTTTCAGTACAGGTATTCCAACTCAATTTAAAAAATGCAAATAAACGTCAGTAACCCCTCTATGTAGTATTTTTGGTGAAGATAAAAACACTTTTTATTTAAGAATTTGTTGGGTTGCTTTTTTGTCCGGTTTTAAAAACTAAGTGCTACTACAGCAATTTATGGCTGAAGAAATGCTCATGTTAATGCATCAATGTAATAGTTGGCATGCTGAACCAAGGGGAAGTATTTTCATTTCATAGGAAAAGAAGAACTCCCAGCAAAGCAACTAAACAGCTGATACGCAGGACTTCTGCCTTTAGGACAACTATTTAAAGTTCTTGTAGATATGATAGGCTTCACAGGTTTCATCTGCTGATCACAGCAACACACTGTTAATGCTAGCTGCTGTGTCTTAGTACTTCTTTGCAAGCCAGCTGCTCGAGCATGGGTTTGCTTCTGAGAGTTCAATACAGGGTGTACAAAAAAAAAACACCCTTAACAACCCACTCCATCCAAAAGCTGAAGAATGACCATCTCTATGGCAACTAAAG